ATCATTGCCTCGTTACGACTTCACAACTTTTGTTTTGAAGCTGGACAGGTAGATACTGTATGATAAAACGATCGTCGAGTATCAGTTAGGTTTATCAATTCAGTGAACGAGACAATTTTGCTCTTTTTTTTACCAGAGTGAAAGAGTTACGAATCCACGCAAATGTTGGTCTATTATCGACTGTGCTGGATCATTCGGGAAACGAATGCATTTTTATTCACGGCTATTACTTTACAAAAACTGCGATTTCCTTAAAAGGAACTGAACTTCAACCCTGAAGTATTCCCTGAAGGCGGCTAAGACGTGCAGTAAGTGGCATGTATGTAGCTGGGCGGCAACACAATGCAACGAGCACCAACAACGCAGTGAAGCTCGTTATCGCAGCACTATTCTGTAAAGGGCGAGGTTATTAACGTAAATATATATGGAACCCGGGTAATGACGGCAAGAAGTTCCGTTAGAAAACAGAAAGGGTTACATATATACATATGGGCATTACTTTGCTATTTCTTAGCGTACAATCTATTTAAGCCTTAAGTGAATTATATTATGTATGTATTCGTTCCCGAATATTTAGCTTCTTCAAAAGTGCCACTCATCGAAGTCTTTATCGTCAGATCAAGGGGCTTTTATTGTTGCTTTTAGCTCCGATGCACCGTTCTCTTGTAGGCTGGCCTATAGCTATTTCAAGTCCAAAGCTCTTAAAAATATAGTTTCAATTGTTATAGCACGAATCGTAATGATGCTTTGCCTGTTGATTGGTTGGATACTGAACTGCCGCTGAATTTGGTAATGTTAATGATGCCATATATTTAAATTAAAAAAAATAAAAGAGTATGTTAATGTGGTTCAGATCGGCATTGAACTAGAAAATGTGAAATCTGCTAAAAAGGAAGACGTGGACAGCAGAGTCCTAATGTTGGCCTGTTTCAAGCTGGATATCACCTTAAAGCATAACAATGCAAATTTTTGTTGCACGACGTTGTAACGTTCTACAACTAGAGTTGACACAAAGGCGGAAAAGGACGATCAAAAAGCTATTTGTCTTCCCTCCCACCCGGTAAGGCTTTAGTTCAATAGCATTTAGCATAATCTTATTCCTAACTTAAGGTATACAGTAAACTGATATCTAACACTTCAAACTACGCCTAGGTAAGATTTGATTAACTTCGATTAGTGAAAGTTTACTGGTTTCAAAAAAGCCGGGCGTAAGTTATCACGCAAATAAGTCGCTGGCACTAACTCAGCGATCGTGCGTGTCGATATTCCATCAAATAGCCCTTGTTTTATTGATTTTGCAGTGGCGAAGTGTTTGCCTATTTAACTTCTCTGCTGCTGAAGGCCCAACAAACGTAGCGGCTAGTTACGTATCCAGAGCGTACCCGTAGTGTCTGACAGATGTCTTTTCGCTCCCTAAGCATATCTCAGTAGGGCAAGGTTAGTGAGGCAAGGTTAATGGGACAACAGACACCGGCAGGTGACGTCTTCTGATTGTTTGTCCAGGTTAGACTACCGAATGAATAGAAGTGAGTAGATTTATTCTCCACTTCATTACCACCACCATGACCGTTGTCATAATTATCATAGGCCTACAACTATCTCATTATTCGCCACATCTATGTGTACTTACAATTCAGATGTTAATGTTTTTTTGGCCAACGTTACCTTGAATTGCTAGATGACACATTAGTTTTTCTTTGAGGGAACCGTCATGAAACTATCGTCTACGAAACACAGATCATAACGGCACACAGTAACGTAGATCGACCCTTTGAAATATGTCGCGTCCTCTACAAATACGTTTGTAGATAAATGACAATCATCAACGTTGTTACGTCGACAAATATATGCTGTAACAATGTTATTAGGAGGATCATCGTTATTGCTCAAGTTCGTTACTTCCAATGTATTATTGTTATATATATTAGTAAGTACTATTCGTGAGCATATGTTTCATCAAAGTTCTATTCATTATATGACTCATGGCTAGCTACAGCGAAAAGCCTAAATCTCTTATCGCTATAATTTCGTCACTAATAAGACGTCGTCTTAACAAGACTACTTTAGAAAGTAAAAGGCAGAGATAATCTGTTTTTAACGAAACGGCTATAGATTCTTTATGTAATTACACCAGAACGGTAATATGTGTATAAAGGACAGTACGGCAAGTGCTATGCTTGTTATGGCTGAAGTTGCCCAGTCGCAGATACTGCGAGCTCGACTGATTTGAAACAAACATGTGACCTTTAGCACTTCAGTGGCAGATAGCAACATCGAGGCATAACGGGGCAACAAATAAGTGAGGTAGCTGAGTTGGCAATCGATGGAAACATACATAACTAAATCATTGTACACTCAAGTACGTAATTGTTTGCTTTCTTGTCGACCATTGAATTGTCACATATGAACTCGCTCGGGCTTGTAGCGATTTATCTCCGCCTACATCCGAAGATAGTTAGCAACAACAGCATCGTCATCGCCGTCGATAAAAAGATCACTATCGCATAGAGAGAATTTCGGAAAGGGAAAATGGGCCAGCAATTTGGAACATAATTAGTGAACGTAAAAAGGTGCCCCTGCTTGTTGATGCTGTCAAGAGCGATTCTCGTCGACCACGGCAACTAATCCCCAAGGCGGGGCACTACCATTAGACGGGACTTTTTATTAACGAGTCACGGAAAAGGAAAAATGTAAGCTTCTGTTTCGAAGAATGTCACTGTTTTTTGTTGGTCTTCTAGATATTCTGTATAACGGCGTTATGTGTCGGTCCAACATAAGTTGCTTGTTTCCGTTTTTTTTTTTGTTATTCTACATCGATGCAGTTGCTGCTTTTCGTAAATATAGGGTATCCTAAAAGTAATACATGGTTTAATTTACTGCATAGCCCTATTCTACTACGCATTCGGAAGAACCTTAATGAAGGTGTAGCGTTTTATTTTTAACAGGACAAAATACACGTTCTACCCTACATTTGTGAGACTTTTTCAAACAACCAAGTTGGACGAAGAGGCCTTATGAAACAACCTGTCCGGTCCGTAGACCCGAGGACTACTTCTCCTGTTAAGGTACCTTGAACATAAAGTTTATGCCGCAAAACACCACAGCACTTAGCATAAGTTCACAAATCGTCGCAATTTCAACACCTGCACCAAGAGGATAGGTTATACATTCTATAATAGATTACTTTGCGATTATATGCTCAGCTAAAATTTACATTGTGTCCATATTTTTAAGACAGCTACCTGTAGTCTTCATTTGATCAGCTGGCGGTCGGATTTTAAGGAAGACGACGGAATGTTGCGGACGCTCTGGCAAATTGCAGCCGTTACGTTCTAACAGTTATAACCATTATATCAATTAAGTTCTGAGTAAATTTCATTTCTACCACTTACCAATCTTGTAACCGAACAACAAGATCACTGAATTTGCGATATAAATATGTCTATTTTGCTACGATGGCTATTCACCTCTCGTACACGTCGGAGAGGGCTGTACCATATGAGTAGCAACGTTCTTTATAGGATACCCACAACATTATCATCGCTTATGATGGCCTCTTACATTTGTCTTTGCTTCACAATTTGCTACGGTAAGATTTCTTTTAACCCAATGAAACAACATGTATTCATGAGATGTGGTACTAGCTCATGTAGTATGTATACGAATCTGCTGGCCTGATTCATCTCGCTTCTACCGCTGTTCTTCCTCTCTACTAGTAACGATATCGTTGAGGAAGACGCCGAGTAGCTTTCCTGATGAATGGCCTGCTCCGGGCCGATTCGTCTCGTATCGTTCCATCTAGCCGATTTCGATTTTTTGTACATCTATAGATCCAGCTAGCTATATAGCTGTGTGTCGATGTACGACGGCTCGTCGTTTCAATATAGTGAGCTGGTCCAATATAGCACAACCTAATAAGGCACGAGGGCATCATCATGTACGGGATGCTCTTTCTGCCTGTAAAGCCGAATAGATGCAAGGTGAGCTAAAAATAGTGAAACTGGTAAATCTTATGCAATGGCTGCACACATGCATCTGCGCTTGTTTGAAATATTTGCTTGAATGAATATCTTTTAACACACCAAAGGATTGATGTTGCTAATCTAAAGGGATCAAGATAATTACTACGGTGCTATTGCTAAGAGATCACAGTGAACTTGTGTACAAAGTACACATATGCACTTCAATCCAGCATTGTTGCTTTTAGCAACGAGTAGTACTTTCTCCAAGGATATTAAACATGAGTTCGACTTTCTATAGTCGTTGCTGCTATTTTGATGTATTTATATTGCCAGTGTGGGATGCGTACTCTGGACATATCTCTCCCTGTCAGCATTATTTAACTGTTTATACGTAATAATAAGCACATGTTTCTAGATACAAACTGTTTATACATCTGTTCGTGTTAAATCTGCCACATATTACGAAAGTGGCAGATGCTTGTCGAGTCGTGTGTCATCGTCAGTCTGGCCTCATCACCACTTCGTATTGCCGATGATAGCGATAAGTGTTAGAGACGACGATAGAAGAACGTCAATGATAATTTTATGGCAGAGATGAAAAGGTACATGATGATTATCAAAGCAGATTTGTACTTACCAGCTTAACAAGCCCAAGGTTCTTAATGTAACAAAATTTCAGAACAAACTTCTACCTTATCGTAGGATAAGAAATCGTCCGTATGGCTTGTTGTTACGGTAAAAACTTCTACAATAGTATTTAAATTTGTATCTGCAAAGAAGAGCTGAGTAACGCACGCTATTATATAGCATACGTTTTACAGACTGAGTCCGTTTCCCCGTGAAGAAATCGCTTCGCGCGAAGCGAAGTTTCTGTGACAAGCCTATCACCCTACGATACTGTGCTGTGCTATCTGACAAAATTTACAACACCTGACATAACGCGCATTCGCATAAAGTACCTTTTGTGTGTGCACGGATGGCAGCGGTCAGCTAGCTCCGCTGAAGGAGACAAGAAGACTCCGTTTTGTACGTGTCAGAATTACATTTGACTTTATTGTTCTTAAAAAGTTGCCAAATACACACACACACACACATGCCTGCTAAATCCTAAGGGCATATCGTAACAGTACAATCAATGTATCGCGTTATATTATTATTATCCACCCAATGCAATGTGCTTTTCCTTCATAACAAGGGAATTTTCCTACCCTTTGTTTGGATTACAACGTACATTACCTATGTATAGTCCCAATGAGAAAACAGTCCTCATCTAGTCTGAATTAAACTGCAGATTCTAGTTACTTCAGATAGTTCAGGCGAACTGGAATCGAACGAGTTTACTCGACTTGTGAGCTTTTACAACGTTTTTTTTATATCAATTGTATAACGGTGTGCAACAATGCGGGATATTGCATGTATACAAAAATCGGTAGGCGTCATACTCTATGCAGTCGGACCCTAATCAGGGCATTGGCTGAGGGTAAATGAAAAAGATGGGTTACCCAACACTACTACGTCCCCGTAGATATACCGTTACATTGTATTCAATAGCAAAGTAAATTTTTTTCTGTTCACGTAACGATTGCCGCTCCGGTGTTGTTCAATCGTTTGGTCATGGCAGTAAGCCACTATCGAACCTTTACCCTATTTCTGCCTACGGTCGGCCGTGGAGATTGAATATCCCTTGAGCCACTACAGACGAGACGAAAATCCAACGAGGCGAAGCGATCCACTCGTAAAACACACCTGGAGGTTTGTCATTCTTCTTCCTTACCCAACGCACATGTTCTATCTATTGTTTTTGATTTGCTGTACTCGTATCGATCGACTGTCAAATACACAGTAAACATTTGTCGGTCGGTCGGAAGGAGAACGGAACCGAGGGCAAGTATTTGCGTTTTTCGTATGTACAAACACACGTTGCCTACCGTTATTAATTAGCCACATATAGCATAAGCTAAGCCATTTGTACTCGACCACGACAGCACAGAGCGAATTGTTTTTGCCATACATCTCTCAGTGATGGCTAACAATAATCAGTGTATGGTTAAAGTAATTTCACGACCATAAATTAAGCCGTTATATATATATACGGGTTTACACGTACGAATCATGAATGAAAGCAAAAAGACTACAGATCAAGTTCTGTAGCCCCAGCGAAGATGACCCGAGATTCGAATTTCGTAAAAGCTGCCACTAATGCCATAGTGAGGTTGCCTCCGCAACCGAATTCGTTTCAGCCGTGCTTTGAGAAATCCGTTACCTGAAAAGCCAACACACATGTATATATAATATATTTACATATATATATATATATACATATATATAATACATATATATATCTATATATATAGAGAGAGAGAGAGAGAGATATGCCAGTTACTACGCTTCAGAAGAAAATACTAACATCGTCAGAGTGGAATAATTTCTGCTAGTCTAGCACCGGCATTTTTCTGGTCAAATAAATGATGTCCCATGGACGAAATATAGAATAATGAAACAGAACGCAATAAAAGTCGAATAATATATAACTGTCGTCGTGCAATTAAATTATCTATCTAGATTAGTGAAGGTTGAACTGGTGAGGGAAGGAAGTTAATGCACACAACGAAACCTATAATTTTATAAGATGACGAGTAGCAAGAGAAGATACCAGCGGGCAGACGCCTTCTACCGATTAGCTCTGCCTTATCAGTAACTAAATGGACTTCGCAACGAAAACGCACAGCTCGCTCTATAGAGTGATAAATGAGGGCTCTGTGAATACAGATCTTCGGCTCCAATTATATCACTGGCGTACATTGTGTTACAGGTCCACACAAAAACAAATCTGCATAATCAGCTTGTGGCACAGGTTATAGATCAGAAAAAGTATCTGATTCCCCTTCTTCCTTTTTTCTTGCACTTCAAATGATCACTAATAAATACCACTAGTATAGGGGTTATTTGTTGTTTATGGATGCTGCATCAACATATTTAGGGTAATTGGATATATGTGCAGGTCGTAATAATTAAATTCTGGGTTAAAAATAAAGCTGAAGGATCCAAATTCGGTGTATTTGCTAATACAATACTAAATAAATTCTTGTGAATACTCGATCTATTACGTCTGACGATGCGAGAACGATTTACTATAAAACTACCCAGATGATTTATTCTCCAATGATAGTTTTACTTTGCAATGGACTAGGATAGAACGTACAGCCGATGAAACTAGAAACACGAAAGGCAAAATTCTATAGATAACCAGAGTTGTCCAATGCATAGGCTTCCGTTCCTAACGTTCGAGTCCTTGCCCTCGCTTCACTGCAATGCTCTCCCCGAAGCTACCGCAAAACATATCTTATCAGCAATGCGTCCTAGCTTCCGGCTAGCCAGTTGTAGGCATAATGAAGACAGATTGGATGTACATGACATTTAATTGATATTAATGGACAAATATTCCTGTTTTGTCCAAATATCCGGATGAAGATAGGTAAACCCGCGTAAACTACACTAGTTCCAATGGTAATGGCAAGGCGAGAGCGGACAATTGATATTAACACAGGCTTTCTACACTCCAGCCGTCTCGGATGACGTTCTGTTTCTTATTTTGGCTACTTCATCAGAGTGAAGTGCACAGCTGAAATTCAGCGCAGCACCTACGTAAGCTGATGACGCGTGAGAAAAGAGCGTTCCCGAAGTGATAAAGATTGATTACAACAAAGTCTATTGCATTTCTTATCCTAGTTTTTACCAGACAGACGCTTCGACAGCCGACATACTGGCAATGAAGAAGCTAAACACAGATAACTATAACACTTGTTGAAACCCTTTGGCAATAACGGTTTGTTCAAGTACCTTGTTAGTGCAAAATAATGTTTCTAATTGTAGTAAACCAGGCACCGTTAGCAAGAACTCCCACCCGGTTACATGCTCCTAGGGTCATCCAGTGACAAAAATTACCGTCGTAAAGGGGGATGCTCTCGTCCTTCCAGTGTAGTGAAAGACAGAAGAGAGTGGCAGTGTCGATCACTTCTTCAGTTCGACTATGTTTGCCGTGATCAGCTTTTCAAGATCTTCTTCACTGTAGAATTCAGACAGCACCTCGAGGGTGTGCTCACCTAAATGCGGTGGTGCTGATCGTACCTCATTAACTGAGTCGCTAAAGCGAACGGCCGGCCCGATGACTTTTACCTCATCTCCGCACGGATGCTTTACTATGGTTACCATTCGTTCGGCGATGGCCGCATCTTCAAAGACATCTTTTATTGAGTTTATCGGTCCATAAGGAACTCCGCACCCTTCGAGGACATCTAGCCATTCTTCATTAGTCTTCTCCGAAAAACGGTTTTGAATTATTGCGTCGAGTTCTCTGGAATTTACCATCAAATAAATAACACGCTCACTTATTTCTACTCGCACAAAGTCTAGAGCTATTGTACAAGTGCTTTACACCATCAAATAGATGTAAGAAACGGTAGATACGGCTAAACAGCTGACATTGTAAAGCATTTATGCGTTCAACAGTATAAAGGCTAATATATATCAGTATAAGGGTAGCTCTTACCTACGATTGGCTACTCGAACGGTGTTGCTGATGAAACGTTCATCATTAATGAGAGAATCTAATCGAAGTCGACGGCAGACTACCTCGAACTGCTTGTCGCTACCTGCTCCAATAGTTATGTAACCATCTTTTGTTCGGTACGCTTTGTATGGCACTATGCTAGCGTGCGACGTGCCCCAGCGTTTGCCATCAACCCCAGCGTTAAGATAATTTGAACCGATGTTGACTAATAACGATACCTGCGTTGAAATATATACAGACCCTGTTAGTAAAAGAATATGCTAACAAATATGTATATATTTCAACGTATATCTTGAATCATATTTTGTTTTTTTTCTTTCTTTTCAATGCAATCGCCTTGGATAGCTCGGCAAAATATAAAATAGGCGAAGACTGTTACCCCCGGAAAAGTTGTTAACGTAATACGTGCAGTTGTAAAACAGAATTCGTTTATAGGTCCTGGATTGTAAAACACAATACCTGGCTGGCGAGGAGATCACATTCGATTTTTTGTCCACGACCAGTTTTCACCCGTTGCAGTAATGCTGTCAGTATTGCAGCTTTGGCATATAGGCCAGTTGCGAGGTCCGTCATTGCTACACCCACCTTACACGGTTTGCCATCGGCAGGACCTGTTATATGCATCAGTCCTCCCATTGAGGCTGCAATCACATCATAACCAGCTCGATTCCTGTATTTGCAAAAGCCGCCATAGCCAGTCAGAGATAAATAGATTAATTTTGGATTGATCTTACTTAAGGCTTCGTAACCGATTCCATGTTGCTCGAGTTCGTCCGGCAGATAATTTTCGATGAGGACATCGGACGAGGCAGCCAGTTTTCTGATAACATCTTTACCCGTTTCGCTTTTGAAGTCCACGACGACGCTCTTTTTGTTTCGATTAGCACTAAGGAAATAACAGCTCACCCCGTGAGCAAATGGAGGGCCCCAGTTCCGTGTCTCGTCACCACCCCTCGGTCGTTCCACCTTGCAAACATATGGATGATGCACACACGTTTTAGTTATTACAACAATGTTTTCACTTAACATCGATATCTGTGGAGCTTGACGATAAGAGAAAGCGACAAAGTTGAAGAGATAGATATCTTTGTTGGCAGTCACTTACCCGCACCGATAAAAGGAGAGCGCAGCTTCTGAGACCGATAACAGAAATTGACGATATGCTATTTTTTTATTATTCTTATTTCAATGCATTTGATTCGCTTGAAATGCTTTTGTACTTTATATAAGCGACACCTACTTACCTTGATCACCTCCGCACCGAGATCGCCGAGTAGCATCGTGCAAAATGGTCCAGCCAGAATACGGCTCATATCCAATATTCGAACGCCATCCAGCGGACTTACCGGTGAACAGAGGCCTCGAACAATTTGTGGACCAGCTCGCACGCACCGTACGAAGTTACTACCTCTTGCAAACATTTGTATGTACTAGTGAGCTTGTTTAGTATAATAGAGAAATGAACAAAAGAAAGAAACCCTATAGTATTGCACAAGCTTTAGCTAACACGAAAACACTAGTTAGGATCACTGGTGGCACATTCTGCCGTAGCGATACAAGTCGCTCTATTATTAGTCCGCTAGTTCAATGCTCATTTCTAGATAGGAGACGTTATGTGTGTACTGCTGCGGCGAGTATTCTTTACTAGGATACAATAGCCGTCCAAGCGTCTAAGGCCAACAGATAGTAAAAAGATCTTTGCCGATTATGTCCTGACGACAACGCCCTCTATTCAAACAGATCTCTCTAGAAGAGCTGCAACAATACGGACGAACGAAAGTATTTACCGGCATCGACTCTTGCCTCTCGTCCTGTGATTTCTCCATAATAGACGTTGAGCGGCTGAATCGCGGGGCTCCGGGCGATGCCCCGCTAGCGCTTTGTGAGCTGGTACTACGTATCGCAGCTAACCGCAGTAACGCCACCGCCAACTGACTGCATAAATAGGGACTTCTGCTGGGCCGCAGCGATCGCTGCACCCTCCTCTTTCGTATCGCCAATGCGGCCGTCTTATGCAGATTGAGTTTTAAACCAATAAAGTAGGCTCCAAGGTTTTTAGTGGTTTTCAAACAATCGTTTTCGTTTATTTTACTATATATAGTATGTGCATATACAGTAACAAGGAAAGCTTGTCTATAGTCTGTGTGTACCTTTTTCGACCCTGTGGACGTGTAAAAGAAGCGCGTAAAAACACACGCTTGTTCCCGCCACATATGCAGTGATAACGTGTTGGTCTCGTGCTAGATATCAGCAGTTGGATGCTATGTTAGACTATTACCGCAGGTAAAATTTCAGAAGGATCCATTGTCAAGAGACTGAAATTATTTCCAATTATTCATCGTAAGAATACTGCGTGCGACTGTTTTGCTTGACCTAAGCTTAAATGTGAAAGAACGAGAAAATTGCCAATGAAATAATTGCCTGAGTCAAAATCAAAAGTATATATATATATATATATATACACTGCAGGAAATATTATACTTCCGAAATTACTTTGTGACCTTGAAAACAAAAATTTTTAAAAAATTTTGCTCTAAAGTTAGTTCGTGAGGGATCAATCTTTCGTATTTCTAGCAGTTGACTTATGAATGTGTAATTACGAAATCTCAGTTTTGCTGCAGTGAAAAGCCTCTTCACTCATGCCAATGCGTTCCTGTCTTTTGGGTCCCGACATCTGGCCACCACCTCGCTGATCTTCAATATTTCAGCCTCAGTTCTTGAATCTTTTGCGCCATTGACGTATTGGATTGTTATTTAAGTCTTCACTAATTTTCGATACATTTCTTCAACACTGTAGCCTTCAAAAAACAAAAACAATTAGGCACTGAGCACTAATTTTCGAGACTGAAAGGTCCTGCCTTTGTATTTTGAAGTAGTTTAGTCTGAGTAGACTCACTAACAGCTGCTAGAAGAGTGGAGTACTTACCCGAAAACTTCGTTTGCCGGTTGCGCGTAGTTTGAAAATTCCTCCCGATTCGCTTGTAACGGCCAAATATATATATATATATATATATATATATATATATATATATATATTAGATCATCAGGGAAAAACGGCAACGGTGAGTATAATACAAGGGAACGTTGTCAATATACGGTTTTCTAAGTATGTTTGATTCTGTTGTTCGGGTCCAATATAGGTTATGCGTACGAGAAGTTTAAGAAACATGAAGGTGTATGGGCGGATATGGATGGGGGCGTGTGGGAAGGTGTGGGTGCCTTTGTGGAAACAGGCGAGCGTGAACTGAATTTGGCCAGATAGCATAGTCATTCATAGAACAGCTTGTTTATGTTTTTATTTCGAACTCAAACTATATCTAGTGGTAACGACGCTATGAACTTCGCTGTTCAAAGCCAGCCCATTGATTGACTTGTGGGACGGTCGGACCCACACAAGGACTCAACAACAACACTTGCAGTGCCGCTGGCAGCAGCGGAAGCAGCTTTGAAGCGTAAACGGGGCTGTCACTATGGCGTCGGCGAAGGTTACAGGTAACCATCAGTTCATTTTACGAACAAATCTCGAGTGACTTGAGCGTGCGGTGGCACGGCGCAAAGACTAACTGCTGTAATAAATGCAATGCGAGAAATTCGGTCATCGGACAGTCGATTGCTTCTCGTCAGTTGCCGATCGTCCGATCCGGCAAAACAATTTCGCATTTATCTAGTGTTAGTTGACCACATCCGTCATCATAAAAGATAACGGTGTCAAGGTCGGCTAATTTGCTTGCCAGCCCTAGTACCTTCAGCTATTCATGTCGAATCTAAACGAATATATAAGCAGTATAACTTGTAAAAGATGAGTGAAATACCCAAAATGTTGCATAGAAAAATTAAAGCACATACATATATTTGATATACCGCAGCAATATGCTTTGTTAACTGTCGAGGACGACGACAACTCTTCAGCCGCTGGTCCTACGCTTTTGTCCGCATAAATCTTTTTTTTATAGGTCCGTTGACAGACGACGCGTCCTTATTCTAGCATGTGCGGTTTGTTACGTCCTGGTCATGCTTACCAGGCAAAACGTTCCCATACTTCGTTAGCGAGTAAATCTGCATGTCATGCATGCACAGGCAAATTGCTTTACTAAGCATTTTTCCGAACTGCTGGCACCCACATCTAACAACCGAAGAAGAAGTCGTTTGCACACGACTCCAGACATTCCGATTAAGGGGTAGTGTGCCTTAAGCGAGAAGCCAGTTGGCCTATCTACTCTCGCTAGGCAGTCACGGGCAGCGAACGGAGCCTACTACCGACATTTTCCTTCATACTGAAATGGCCTGTTATAAAGTGAAGCGTACGCGGTAACCGACTAACATTGGCATATTTCGCAGTTGCGTATGTACTTCTGTGCTTAACCACGCTACCCCGTCTGAGAAAAAACGTCCGTTTGTTCGTAGTAGACTAGAGATTCTGTCGACTGTAAGGGGATTAACCATGGTTCTTGTGAAGCGAAGTGGCAGAGCGCACCGTCTTAAAAAGGGACGAGTTTTTTTTCCTACAATTTTTTTTCCGCAATACTTCGTTCAGTGGCGACTTCCGACTTTTGTTGGTCCGCTAGTGTTGATGCCGTGAACTTTGTTACATTCCGTCAATGTCGAGGGTATCGAGAAGTGCCTTTCGTACGGTCTGTTCCACGCTGCGCCTCCCAACTAGATGTTACCAGACGACAAATCACGGTACACAAGTTGCCCTAATGAAGTGTTAAAAGCGGTAGACCTACCTTTACGTCTGATAATGTTGTTGTTGTTGAAAATCTTGAGGTAGAGTCACATTTCAGCAAGCTGCTCAGACGCCTCGCCCATTCCTCTGACACGATATACGGACGATTCAGGCAAACATACCTCCCTTAGATACTTGTGGCCTCAAAGCTGTACCATGGGCCGATCTCTGCAAGCAAATCATGCCCCAGAAACTCGCCGGCCAGCCGCATGAACCTCGAGACACATCTACTTCGCCTCTATGTTTCGAGTTCTAAGTCCAGTATCGCCGTTAGGTATTCCATTAGGCAACTGGCTGGCTTCCAGCACGAAACGCAGCCTCTCTATGCTCGGACATCGATACCGCCTAGCTTCATCGATTATTATTTTTGTCGATTCTGTCCAATTTCTCACGAGATCCCACCTTGCAATTCGTCGCAGCGGCGATATGGCGGGTTAAAGCGATTTCAGCTGTATTGTAGGCTGACACGAACGAGCGTTCCACTTGCCCCGTATCTTTATACAGCCGCCGGCGTACCGAAGTCTTTAAAATGCCAATACGGCTCTCACGATCGAATCACCCGAAATGCAGAAGGAATTTTCTCATTCTGCGTCTATTACACCAACCGCTGCGTCTGCAACTCCTAGCGAGCGTGTTTTTTGCTCAGCAGAAGCAGACGATAGAAGACGTCGAAAGAATAGGCCTCAACTAAGGTTTTACCGATAACGTTACCCTCTGCTCTCCGAGATGCTGAACGTGCACGTGTTGTTGTCGTTATACAATCTTATATAAGACGGACCGGCGGCAATGGTGAGTTGCTATACGATGAATAAATATCCGACATTTTTTTGGGTACTGCGCAACACGGACATCAAACCAGACAAGACGGTGACAGATCAGCAAATCTAATTTAAAAATAGCTATTAAAATCAATTAGAATTAATTTGATATACTGAAACAGATGTCGTCGTCGAAGCTCGGCTGCTATAACGAAAGCTTTCAGACAGAAGAAGAGAGTAATAAAATGTAAGAAGAATATGAACGATGCATTAATTCGAGTTATTACAGCGTAAGTGTCTAAGATTAAGAATCCAGTTTGTAATTTAAATAAAGTATTATTCTATAAATATATGAATAAATATACAACGGAACGAATGGCCAACAATCTAGCTTCAACTCGTCTGCTTCATTTTCAAGGCAGCGGCGGAATGGTTGGCGATAGAACTCGTTGGTGATCGTATCCCTGGCTGACTGGATGGCCTCGCTAGAACCGGTTTTCGGCCAAGCCCGGACAAAGTGTGGGTCCAGCAATTAACTGCCTAGGTGAGAATGGACTAGGCAACACTAAAAGCGCAGTAACCCACAAGATGTAGTTTCATTTGCGAATATGATTACACAGGCGCTACGACGCTTTCCTTCTAAAGTTGCCTGGGCAGTTCTTTTACCGCTAAAGGAGGAACAGGGAGACGTTCGAACAGTTCGAAACTGCTGAGTGACCTGGGCTTCAAACTCAAAAATTAGCGCGTCGTATTCGCGAACTCCACCGCAGCGACTAGGGTTACCCTTTGTGCTATGAATTGTTAGTTCGAGTGATTCAAGACTATGCTCTACAGAAGGTTTCGGTAGCCTATCGAGCAAAGGGGGAACCTCTGCTGCTCATATTAACACGAAGCCCCCGAGAGTTGCGGTTTGTTAACCGCAACTCTCGGGGCAAGGCAAATCATAATAGTAAGCCCCGAGTATATTAGCAATGTGAAGTTCGATGGCAGTGGTGCGATCGTCATGTTCGTCGGTGCCCATACCAAACGTTCATCAGTTGGGGGCGCGTACAACTAGCCAGCCCCCAGTGGGTAGCGGGAAGGATGAACAGTCGATGGGTTAACCGTTAACGGAGGTA